GCAACTTTTTGAGAAAGCGCCATACTGCTTTCCACAGGGGTTGCACCATTTTACACTCCCACCAACAGTGAATCAGGGTTCCAGTTTCTCCACAACCGATTATAATTTTAAACTTTTTTTACAAGTGTTTGATTTATTGACAGCAATTACAATAATTGGCCGTGCAGTTCCACCCTAGATTAATCTGGTATTTGTCACCTTTTAACACCTTCTTTCTCCCTCCCTCCTGCTCCTTCTAGACTTTATTCTCTATATTTTTCTTGTCTCTTTTATATAAGTAAGGCTATACGATATTAATAATTTTTTACTGACTTAACCACTTAGCATAGTGTCTAGCTCCATCTGTATTTCACACTTCTGCTTGTGACAGTGTCTGTAATGGTGTGCTCAAGTATATCAGAGATGCTGACAATGGCACAGGATAGGGCAGAGTTCAGATCACTTGTTTTATAGGGTTACTGTGAGTTTTTGTCAACTCAGTGGCACTTAGCCATAGCAACAACAACTCGAAAACGTATTTTGTTCACTGTAAATCATAAATAAGAAATGTAAAAAGCCTTAGATGGTAGATGTAACAGAAAAGAAACTGGTGAGAATCAAGAAGCCCTCTGGTGGCTTATTGGCAAGGAATTGTGCTGCCAACCCAGTTTCCTTCAAATCCTTTCCTTCAAGTCCCCTAGTTGTTCTGCAGGAGAAAAATGGGCGATCTCCTCCTATGGGATTCCTACATCTGAAAATCCTCTGTAGAGTCAATTATAAGTTGTTTCTGACTTGGTGGTACGTTGTACCTCCAATAATGATAATCAAAGACACCATAGCCATGCCAGAAAAATTATCTTTTTGTATGTGATTGTGAAGTAGTGCTGATGAATATGTCTGATCTGATTTGTATTATTTTTATGTCATGATTGATAAGCTCATACTAGATATCAAGGAACATCAGTTTTACCATTTTCTTGTTTGTTGTGCTGACATCCTTGCTATGAATTGTCAATCAGCAGATTCTTTACTCTTTTTAGGAAAGTTGAGTTTTTTCTACTGACCTCAGGTTTACTTTTGCAAACTCTCTAAACATAGCTTTGCAGACAGCTGTAAATTTGACATTTGAATTAATACTTCATTGTTTTAGAGCAATATTCATGTCCTGGTTACCTTTCTGTAACCTGTGTTTTTTTTCTGCTTTGTGTAATTGAAGATATTTTGACATTTAGTATAATTACTTAAGGGAGCTCTGGTGGCCTAGTGGCAAGAAGCTGCCGTGCAATCTTAAAGGCACGTGGTTTGAGACCTTCTGTGCAGTTAACTGCCTCTGAAAACCCATCGGAAGGTCAGCTATGGGTTGGTTTTAACTCTGTAGTACACACAGTGATAACAACAAGTATAATATTTATTGTTATCTCTGGTGGCCTAGTCAGTAGGAGATTGCACTGCCTGAATCTACCAACTACTCTGCCTGAGAAATATGGGTAATACCTCTGTGTAATTTATAGCCTCTTAAAACCTGAATGAGGGCCAGCTTTGGGTCAGTTCTGATTCCTCAGCAATAACTTTGTCTTTGAACTGAATGCAGAAGGAAAAACTTTTTGAGAACATACATCCTTTTTCATATTTATCAACCTTTTTTATATGACTATATTACAGTAGATTGTTTATATTGCACTGTATTTTCTGGAGACTTTATCACATTATTTTGTGTTTGATAAAACACTTAGGTCTTCATTATTGAAACTTAAATACTGAAACTATTGCTAGCAGCTATAAGAACTGCTAAGAATAGTTTTTAAATGTGGCTTCTGAATTTGTGTTTGTTTTTTACTTCCATTATTTTTGAAAATGTTTCAGTTATTTTATGATTTTTTCCTTTATAATTGACTTATATTTTGTTTCTCATATAAATGATTCTGATATTAAAGTTTTAAATGAGAAAGGAGATACTGATTCAAGCAAGATTACTGAAAATATATTTGGTAGGTACTTAAAGCTATATCTTTTTAAAATTTTTTTTTAATATAATTTGTGTGTGTGTACTGTCAAATCGGATCTGACCATTACAGGAGGAGATTGTTCCTCCTTCTCCAGCAGAGAAGGTGGTGGATATAAACAACGTACCTCTGGGATTGCAGTGCTGCTTCTTGCCGCTAGGCCACCAGAGCTTGGCAAAGCTATATCTTTGTTTTAATAAAAATACTGTTACTTTTAGGAAAATACATAGTTAAAGTCTCATAAATAAACCATATTTATCCTTTGACATTAACTGGACAAGAAAACAAAGGCCTGTATATATAAGGATTTTTAAGAAGGACTTTTAGGAGGATTGCTTATTATTTTTAGATGTAGGCAAGTTTGAATAACCTTCGTGAGACATTTCATTGCAATGTAGATACCAGAATATGATGCATAGAGAATGAGAAAGTGAAGGCAAGGATGATTAATAAATGTCTTTGAAGTTTGTTTGCAAAGGTAAAGAGAAGATGTGGGATCTAAGGTGAATTTTATTAAAATAAAGGGAAATAAAAACGAGACTAGTTTGATGGCAAGCTCTTGTAGCTATAGCTCAGAGATAGGAAAATGGGTGTAGTGAGATTTTTTAATTGACTGGACTGGGTTAGATGGGAGAATTAGTTCTGGACTAAAGGGAGGTCATGTGTTCCTTTGAGACAGGAAGGAAGACCAGAAGGGTGAGTCTAGTTGTAGATGTTTTACAATGGCAACTTTGTAACAGTACAGACAGTTCTTGGATTCCTAACTGGCTTTTAAAAAATTTGTAGATCAGTCAGAACAGGTGCACACAGTTCTTACTTAGCTTTACTTTTGTGCAAATAAAAGACTTGAAGTCTTTTCAGTGATATAATAGCTACATAGATAGTAAGTGAAAGTCAATATGATGAATTTTTTATGAATAGACCTTAATTAACCTCTTCGAAAGTGAGTGAAAATTTAGATAAAATTATGTTTCAAAAGTTTACAGTGTTGTGCTCAAAGATGTTGGCACACAGCTCAAAGGTGTTAACTGACTCCATGACATTGAATATATGTAGGTGACTCTCCACAGTCCTGACAATAATCTGATCTTATGTATTAGGTTCCTGAAAGGGACCTATGCCTCTTTTGATTCTCCCATTCCAGAACTTTGAGCTATGATTTTTCCTGTTCTAGTTATCATGAAGAATAATCCAAAATATAAAAATCTCAGCCTGTTCCTGGTTTTCTTTTTTGTCTATGACAGATAATTTTAAGCCCTGCATTAAAGGACATCATTACATCAGATATTTGTAACCTAGAGACTGAAGTAGCTTAAGTTTTAAACTTTTTCTTCAAAAAAAACCAACCTAAGGACTTAAAAAAATGATGTAGGAAATGTATTTTTATTTATTGTGATTTTTAATGAAATTTTGCAAAATGTTGGGTTTCCATTCATTCATTGTTGTACATTTTCCTCCCTACCTCCCAGTATAATTTTTAAAAAGAAAATATTCATTCATTGTTGAAGTAAACATCTCTTAAAACGACCTAATTCTTTAAAAAAAAAAAAACACTTAGATATTCGGTAAAAAATTAACAATTCCAAGACCTTTCCTTTGAAGATCCTAATTTATAATAGATTGAAGTAAATGGTAGATCATTAAGTAAATTAGGCAGTGGTAAGAAGCCCCTCTAACACAATCATGATAAATATGATATAATAAGGGACATGTAGTAATGAATAGCTTTTTGTATAGTTCCTTAAATGTATCTTAATAAAAAATTATTTAATATATTTTTAATAATATAGTAATATGTCAGAGAAGGATGGACAAGCTCTTCCCATGCAATTTACTGTCTCTGAAAACCTGCTAGAGGGTCAGCTATCGGTCAGTTCTATCTTGACAGTGAACAACAACAACATACAATGTATATTTTAGAAAATAATATATAATAAAATATATTTAAATAATAAAATTTTTTAAAATGTTATTTTATTATTTTTGTGTGTACCATCAAATAGAATCTGACTGGTACAGGAGGAGATTGTCACTCCTTCTCCAGCAGAGCATCTGGTGGATTCGAACCACGCATTTCTGGGATTGCAGTGCAGCTTCCTGCCACTAGGCCACCAGAACTCCTAAATAAAAAATTTTAATGATACTTACTCTCTTATTTATTTCTTTGAAAATGAAATAATTTTTTTAAATTAATTTGATTAAATTAACTGATTAATTTTCTTGACTAGAGTTTTGCAGTGAGAACACATGCAAACTGTAATTCATAATGTATTTCTTTTTACAGGATTTTCTCCCTTCTCTCAGCAATACTGCATTTGGGCAATATCTGTTATAAAAAGAAGACATACCGGGATGACTCCATAGATATCTGTAATCCTGAAATACTGCCTATTGTCTCAGAATTATTAGAAGTGAGTCATAACATTCTCAGTTGTCTTTTCTTTTCTTTTTTTTTAAATTTTATTATTTGAGTGTACTGTCAAATCAGATCTGACTGGTACAGGAGGGGATTGTCCCTCCTTCCTCGGCAGAGCATCTGGTGGACTTGAACCGTGCGCTCCTGGGATTGCAGTGCAGCTTCTTGCCACTAGGCCACCAGAGTTCCCCTCCTAGTTGTCTTTTCAAGTTCAGAGTTAATGTCTCATTTTTTTTATTTTGTGTAGCTATTTTATAGGTATAAATGGATTAATGTTTGTCATTAATAACATTTCTCCAGAAGGTGTGATTTCTCTTTATTAACTGCTTTGTTTTACTGAATATTTAGAATATTTAGCCTTCTGTCATGGATTGAATTATTTTCCCTGAAAATATTTTATCACCTTGACTAAGTGACTGACCACACCGTGATTTCTCAATACAATGTAATTATCCTATGTGTTTTTATTTGTTTTTGTTCTTTTGCGAATAAAATTGTAAAGATAGATTTATTAGAAATTTCCGTTCCCAAAGGGATAGACGAAGGGAGATACGGAGGGGAGACTTACCCTGTGTGTTAAAAGCAAATTCTAAAAGCTTTATGTTTATGAGGCAGGATTAGAGGTCATCATTCCCCACAATGTGATCAACCAGTCAGTTGTGAGGGAATCAGATTGTAGGATGCAGTACCTTTTCATGGCCCTGATCTTATGAAAGTGAAGTTTCCCTGGAGTGGAGCCTGCCTCACCTTTGTTTAACACAAGAGATAAAAGTAAAAAAGAAGCAAGCAGAGAGTACACACCTCATTAATACTAAGAAAGAGGATCAGAAGTAAAAGATTTTTTTTTATCAAAATACTTGTGCTGAGAAGTTCCATAACAAGTGGAAGGCCAAGACAGATGGAAATTTCCGGGGACTACTGGGCTTAGATGCTGAAGGATACAAAGACCTTCCTCTAGAACTGACTGAAAGAGAAGACCTTCCTCTGCAGCCAATACCCTTAGTTTTTACTTCTGTTCTAATTTATAAGAGAATTAATTTCTGTTTCTTAAAGCCTTTTGTAATATCTTTTGTTATGATAGCACAGTAGATAATTAAAACATCTTTCCTTGCTCAGGAATTTATAATAATTTTCTTTTAAAATAAATGCTTTTACTCTAGACTTTAAAGTTCTGGACCTATGCTAATTTTTCTCCTTTGAGATTTTTTTTTATCATAGAAAGATAGTAGTTAGATTATTACATATATGGTTTGATGGAGAGAAGAAAAAGTATTACTTTTCTTTCTTTCATGAGCTGAACAAGTTTTAAAAGTTCAGTGCTTGGAAAAATACATCATACTGGGAAAAGTGAAGGATCAGAGAAAGAGAGGAAGCCCCTTTTCCACAGTGACTGTAACAGTGGGCTGGAACAAGTAAGAAATCGTGAGGCTTGCTACAGGATAGAGTAAAATTTTGATCTGTGATTCATAGGGTCACTCTGAGTCATAGTTGATGGCACAGAAAAACCAAAATAAAATCAACATCTCCTACGATACTTCTTCCTGTATCATGTTATTTATTGCTATATTCTTTTGTTTTGGAGTGATGCTTTTCCATGTTGTTCCAAATAGCATTGTTTCTTTTAGGATTTTTCAGCTGACAGGAAAGCATTTTGTGTATGGAGTATATAATATATACCTATACTTCTGAATGTAACTGTATAAAGTGTATCTGTATAAAGGTAAAATATGAGTTAATCGTGATGCCTGAAGTACATTGCCGTATGAATCATTCTAATTTGTCCTCTTTGCACATCTGTAAATTTCCCTTTCAGCTGTGAGAAACCAGACTCTTAACCATCTACCATCCATGTCCTTAATTGTTAAATTCCAGTAACGTCTGTTAGAAATTTTATCTACACCTCTGTGGAAAGCCCTTTATGAACTAGAATAGTTTTGGTTTTGTATCATGAAGTTAATTGTTTACTAATTTATGTCCATTTTAGGTCAGCAGTTCTCTTTGGGAGCAAATAACTACTGCTTACTCTAACTTCACAGAGTTAATTTTTCCCCCCTGTACCTGACTAAACATTCCTTATTAACTTTAATGGAATAAGTTATCCTGATGAAAGGTTTAGGAGAAGGGGGCATATTAGAGTGAATTAGAGCTAGAGTCACTCATTGGAAAGAAGTTCTACCAGCAGGTAGAGTGTGGGTCTTGACGTCCACAAAGATTAGAGAACAAGTCATATTTCAGCCAGACATTCCAGGTGATACTTTAGTCAAGCATTTAGTATTGTGGCAACACAGGGAGTTGTGTATAGTGGTATTACTGCTAAGGGTAGATATTCAGCAAGTTCCAAGTATTTAGGTCCTTGTGTAATATTCCTTCTGGTGGAACGCGGTGAAGCAACATAACTAAAAGAGGAGCTCAAGTATTGATTACAAAAAGAGGAAACTTAGTTCTGAGAATTAGTGCTATATTGTTAGAGTATGATTAACAGCAAATATGATTTGATAGTAGATTTTCTTTTTTAACTCAAGCCTCTTAAGTTCCTTCTTGTTTCTTATGATTTCAATTTGCTCTGGAAACTGAGATTTGGTACTATGCAGAAAGAAGACAGCTTGGTGATAAAACATAGATTTTAGAACTAATGTTTTAAAAATAATAGTTTCATTTTTATATAACTATTCCAATTATTTTCTCATGGTACCCTCAGGCAAAAGTGAAGTCTTTTGTTTACTAAGGCCTGTGGTGGCCTACTTTATTGGCTGAAAATGACGATGATATGAAACACTTGCTGCAGAAGATCAAGGACTACAGCCTTCAGTGAGGATTATATTGCAGTATCAAGAAGACAGAGATTTTCACCACAGGCCTAATAGTCAGTATTATGGTTGTTGTTATGTTATGGTAGACGGACAAAAGATTGAAGCTGTCAGTGATTTAATTTTGCTTGGATCAGCAATCAACAATCAATACCTTAAGTACAAGTAGTCAGGAGATCAGAGACATATGTATCAGGGAAGTTTGCAGTCAAGGACCTCTCCAGAATACTGAAGAGGAATGATAACAGTTTGAAGACTAAGTTGTACCTGATTCAGGCCATGGTCTTCTCAGTTGCCATCAGAGAGATAGACATTGAAAAAGGATGACAGAAGAATTGATGCCTTTAAAATATGCTGGTATGTCAAAACATCAAACAAGTGCAGCGTGGAAAGCATACGGAGTGCTCCTTGGAGGCAAGGATGACGAAGCTTTGTCTTTCATACTTTGGAGATGTAGCAAGGTGAGGCTATTTCTTGGAAAGGGATATCATACTTGGAAAGATGGCGGGTCAGTGAAGGAGAGGAGGACCTCCAACGAGATGGATTGACTCTGTATCTTTACCCAGTGGGCTCTAGTGTATGAGAGATCATGAAGATGGCATAAAGCAGGGTTCAAGATGGCTATTCATAGGGTTGCTATGAGTAGTACTTAACGCTATGGCACCTAACAGCAACAATAACAGTGGTGGCCTAGTGGTAAGAAGCGGCATAGCAGTTCCAAAAGCATGCAGTTTAAATCCGTTAACTGCGCCATGGGAGAAGGATGGGCAGTTTCTTCCTGTATGATTAACTACCTCTGAAAACCCACTGGAGGGTCAGCTTTGGGTCGGTTTTGACTCAAAAGCACAAAGCAGCAACAATGAAAGCAGATAGCAACATTGTGATAGAGAAACTATCAAAGCTGTCAGTAGTAAAATCTTGCTTGGGTCCGCAGTCAACACCCTGGGTACCAGCAGTCAGGAGATGAGGAGACATATGTGTTGTGCAAGTCTTTTGTCACGGACCACTGCAAAATACTGAAGGACAATGTTGTTACTTTAAAGACTAAGGTCATGATCTTTTTAATCACTTGCTATACCGATGAGAGCTGGACAGTAAATAAAGATAGAAGAAAATTTGATGCCTTTGAGTTGTGATATTGGAGAAGAGTACTGAATATCCCTTGGGATATCAGAAGAACAAACAGATATGTCTCGGAAAAAGTGAAACAAGAGTGCTCCTTGGTAGCAGAGATGGCAATGCAAGCTTCATCTTTCATATTTTGAACATATTGCTAGGTAAGGCTATCTAGGAAAGGGACATCATGCCAAAGAGAAGAAGATCCCCAAAGAGATGAATTGACACAGTGACTGTAGCAATGGGCTTACGTGTGTCAGAGATGATGAGGATGGAACAGGATAGGACAGAGTTTAGATCTGTTGTTCATAGAATCTCTGTTAGTCATATTCAACTTAGTGGCACCTAACAACAACATAGGGGCAAATACCTAAAAGTGGTTGAAAGATGAATAAATTCCAGTAGTAGATTGAATATGAAGAGTAGGGTCACTGTGAGTTAAAGTACACTCAGTGTCAACAATAATAACTAATATTTACCCTAACCCTAACCTATAGTCAACACTCTAGCAACAGGAAATCAAAAGACAATTGCAATGGGAAAATCTGTCAGAGACCTCTCCAGAGTGCTGAAAAGCAATGATGTCAGTTTACAGACTAAGGTGTGTCTAATCTAGGCCATGATCTTTGCAATTACTTGTTATGCTTCAGAGAATTGGACAGTGACTAAGGATGACAGAAGAAGGATCAATCTCTTTGAGTTCTGGTGCTGGAGAAGAGTCTTGAACATATCATAGGCTGCCAAGATCTGTCTTGGAGAGGGTGAAACTAAGTTTTTCCTTGGAGGTTAGGATTTTGAAGCTCCATCTCATATTTTGAGCATGTGGCCAGGACAGACATGTCCTTGGAGAAACACCTCATGCTTGGATGAGTGGAGGGACAGTGTAGGAGAGGAAGACCTCAGATGGTATGGTTTGATACAGTAACTGAGCAATGGGGATTGGTGTGTCGGAATTAGTGAGACTAGTTCAGAACAGGGAAGGGTTCAGAGCTTCTGAATATAGGACCACTGTGGATTAACAACAGCATCCCTAACCCTAACCATAGTAGTTTCACTTTCTTCATATACATATGGAAGTTAGACAGTGGATAAGGAAGATGAAAGAATTGATGTCTTTGGATTGTGTTGTGGATAGACAATATTGAAATAACAAGGACTGCCAAAAGGACAGATCTGTCTTAGAATAAGTACAACTTGACTCCTTCATCGAAGCAAGGATGAGTAACGCTTCCTCCCACATATTTTGGATATGGGCAAGAGATTGTGAAGAAGCAGTCCCCAGAACAGGATATCACGTTTGAATCAGAGAGAGAGGAAGACCTTCTGTGAGTTCAGTTGACAAAGTGACTGCAATCATGGAGTTGAGACACGACAGAGATTGTGAGGATGACACAATATCTGGTAAAGTTTCATTCCGTTTTATACTGGATTGCTGTAAGTCATTCAGTTTGAAGGCACCTAACAAAAACTGCAACAAATGTATCCCAAAAGGGCCTTAGTGGCATAGTACCTAATATATATGACTGCTAACTAAAAAATTTGGCACTTCAAATAGATCAGTAATTTGTTGCAATAAATTGAGTGATGGAAGGTTGCTATCAATTTTATTTGTACGCTTATCATTGATAACTACTTCAATGAATTTGATGTTTGTGGTTTGCATTTCATTTTTATAACTTTAGTACAAACAAATTCCCATAATAACATCTTTTAGTTTGTATTTTTTCCAAGCCTTTCTGTAATGTTTATATTATAACCTTGTGCAACTTGACTTTTTAATTAATTTTGTTTTTGAGAGTACTTTGTGTTGATTTATATATTCTGGATTCTTTTCTAAACTGCTTTATAAACATATACATAAAACTGTGAAAATGTAAACTGAAATTATACATGTAAGGAAGCATCATCTTTATATTAAGTTTTTAGGAATTTTCACCTGAAGTACATAAAGCAATAATCGCTTGGAATATCCCTGACATTCATGAAAAGTATTCAGTTTCTTATCTTTTCTCTAGTTTATGGGGTTATCTTTTTTCTTTAGAAAGTTTTAAAAACTATTCTCTGTTTTTCATACTTTATACAGTTCAGCATGTTTCTCCATTATGGTCAGAATAAAAATTTTAATTTGAAAAGAGCTACTACTTTTTCCTCTTTACCTTTATTTTTTGGGAAGTGGGACAAATGGGAAGTTTACATTTCACTGTGGCCAGTATTAAAATCATCAGTATATATTCTTTTTTTCTCTACTGTATATTTCCTAATCTCATTACAATTTTCTTATTTGGCATTTCAGGGAAAGATTTCAACCTATTGTTGTAAATTTTATGTACTGAATTTGTTTTTCTGATCCATAGGTTAAAGAAGAAATGCTGTTTGAAGCATTAGTTACCAGGAAGACCGTGACAGTAGGAGAAAAGCTTATTTTACCATATAAACTGGCAGAGGTATGAATAAATTTTGTTGCCATCAAAGGACTCTGAATATTTTTAAAGTTTGGGTTTGTGTTCCTCAACAAAATCATAATAACAGAATATTGATTAAAATATAGGTCCTTTGATGTTTTGATAATGAATTTTTTTATTGACTTGGAAATGTAAAATTTTATGTGCTCTGATTTTAAGCAGTAGACTTAAAAGTTAGAACGTTTTTCTCAAAAGCTCTTTTAATTCTTTTTCATTTTCATTCTAATAATATGCAGTGGATAGCTAATAGGTAGAAGTGTAAATCAACATAATTTGACCCATTTGATTATCCCATTTTGAGATAGTTATATTCCAGGGCATCATATGTTTCTGGTTTACTCCTTTATTGGTCAGTGTTCTTTGCTTGCTTTTTCTTTTCTTCCTAAGTAAACAGTCTTTTTATATTTTTTTATTTAGATTTTCCCATCCAGTTCCATTGCATTAAATATTTTCTGTATACTGAGGCTTCCAGGTGTGATTTTTCTGATAAAGAGCTGCTACTTAAGATTTACTGTTATTTTCACCTAGTGGGTAAAGAATTGTGCTAACAGCCCAAAACCAGGTTCAAATCTATCAGCTGCTATAAAGGAGAAAGATAATTTCCTCCCATGTGATCTACAGTCTCTGAAAGTGCATACGGTTATCAGTTGTGAGTCATTTCCAACACTATGCAATGAAAGAGAAAGGGATTATTATACTAATAAGATCTGGTATCATAATTTGTAGTCTATAGCACTGCTTTGGAAGGAGGAGTGTCATCCACTTCCATAGTAGCTTGCCTCTGGAAACCCTATGAACCTGGAGAGAAGATGAATAGCACCCAAGTGTCGAGGACTCTCCTTCATAGGGTCGCTATGGGTCACTTGCGACTCAATGGCACTTAACAACAACAACATTGCACTGCTAATTGAAAATTGACATTCAAATCCTTGGGGAAAAGATAGACAGTTTCCTCCTGTAAAGATTTACAACCTTGGAAACTTGATAGAGGCTTCCTATAGGACAGTATCAGCTACTCAGCAGTGAATTTGATTTTGTGATGATTATGCTATTCAGGTGTATGTGGATGTTGTTGTGTACCTTTGAGTCAGAATTGACCCAGAGCTGACCACAGCTCTGTTTTCAGAGGCAGTTAAGTCACACAGAATGAGATAGCCTATCTTTCTTCCATGGAACAGCTAGTGGATTCAAACCATATTCCTTTAGATTGGCAGCACAATTCCTTACTGCTTCATTTACTTGATACACTGTTGAGAGCTTGATAGTGAATAAAGTTGACAAGAGAAGAATTGATGCTTTTGAACTGTGATGTTAGAGGAGAATGCTGAAAATCTCATGACTGCCAAAAGAACAAACTGATATGTCTTGGAGAAAGTGCAACCAGAGTGCTCCTTGGGGACAAAGATGACAAAGGTTCATCTCACATATTTTGGGCATATTGCTAGGAGAGGCTCTTCCTCGGAGAAGAGTTTCAGGCTTGGGAAGGTGGAGGGGCGGTGAAACAGAGGAAGGCCTTCAGCCAGGGGGGCTGACATACTGACTGCTACAGTGGGCTCGAAGATAACAGAAATTGTGAGGATGGCACAGGATAGGATTGTATTCTGTTGTTCATAGGGTTATTCTGGGTTGTATTGGACTTGATGGCACTTAACACAAGTACAACAAGCACCAGAGCTCAGGCGTAGGAAAATGATGAAAGAACAACTAGTTTGTAGAGCAATTTTATGCAAGTTATAAGAAAGAAAACTATGCCAGTTACTATAAAATTAGGATGGTAATATGGAACTTATTCAGAGTTGGAGGTATGGGGAAATTTTGATTGCAGTCTAGAGAATATTCTGTAGGTTGACATTGATATATTCATCCAACTTCTTGAATATTTGGTAAATATATTTCCAAGTTCTTACTTTTTCATTATGTTAGAGTGCTCTTAGGTTTGTTTGCTTTTTAAAATTATTTATATAATTAGTTTCATTTACACTATATTTTGTTCATGTATATTGTGGTTCCCCTCCCCCCTCTCCATCATCTTACTAATAACTTTTTTCATGAAAGCATGTGAGCCAGCTATTACATGCCTCTTGGCTTAATATCTGCCTTTAAGACAACTAATTTCTGATTTGCCCATTCCTATCAAACTATCCCACCACTGGGCCAGTTGCAGCACCATGATGAATGGAGAAGAGATTGAGGTTGTTAACAATTTCAGTTTGCTTGGCTCTACAATTAACACTCTTGGCACCAATAGTCAGGAAATCAAAAGATGAATTGCATTGAGGAGGTATGCTGTCAGGGACCTCTCCTAAGTGCTAAAGAGCAGTGACATCAGTCTAGAGACTAAGGTGTGCCTGATCCAGGTTATGGTCTTCGCAGTTATTTACTATGCATCAGAGAGCTGGATAGTGACTAAGGATAACAGAAGAAGAATTGATGCCTTTCAGTTGTGGGCTGGAGAAGAATATTGAGTATACCATGGCCCAACAGGAGAACAAATAGATCTGTCTTGGAGAGGATGAAACCAAGTTCTACTTGGAGGCAAGGATTTTGAAACTGTCTCACATACTTTGGGCACATGGGCAGGAGGAATCAGTCCTTGTAGAAAGATATCATGCTTGGAAGGATGAAGGAACAGAGTAGGAGAGGAAGATCCAAGACGATATGGATTGGCATGGTAACTGGGGCAATGGGGGTAGGTGTGTCAGAGTCAGTGAGACTGGCTCAGGACAGCACAGGCTTCAGAGCTATTATACATAGCATCACTATGAGTCTCAGGCACCTTGATGGCACATAACAGCAACAACATCTAGTACAACAACAAAACTAGTACTTTGAGGGAACAAGCTTGACCTTTTTGCTAAAAAAATCTTCTGTTCAACCTGCCAAAATTGAGCATCTGCATTCACAATAAAGTCTGGTCCAGAAAGGGCCATCACCTTGCAGCAATAGACCCTAGCTCACAGCATAGATCATCTTTGCTTCATCTAGTTGGTCAGCTCATCACAAACCTTCTGTGTCCAGGCTGAAAGGGGCATGAACTGGAAGCTCAGGAGTCTACACTTCTGTGATCCAAATCTGCCAGTCTCCTCGCTCTGCCCTAGCTTTGATGAGGGGAAAAGTAAATCAGGGGTCATTTCAACACCCTGATCCTCAAGCCACTAAGCCTTCCCTGCTCATCCACACATCTGAGCATGTTAGGTGGGCAGTGCTGGAGGAACCTGTCCAATTTCAGTCTGTTTCTCCATTGTTGAATTCCTTCAGTATTATTTAATTAGCCTTATACTGTGAGTGCTCTTTTCTTAAGAAGGAAAAAGTCCAGACTTTAAAAAAAAAGTTGTTCTTTTATTAAATATTTAGAACATTTGAATTTCATTTTAGTACTTTTTTTCCTTAGTACTTTTCAAAATATTTTAATTGTAATTTTAATGAAAATTTACAGAAAATTTAGATTTTCATTCATTCATTGTTACACATATTACCCCCTCTCCCTCTCTTCCCCCAGTCCACTTTTCTTTGTATTTCTTATTCTAGGCTGTTGTATTCATAATGTCCAATCATACATTCCTTTTAAACAGTTTCCCTCCTTCATCTGTTCCAATGCAATAGTTATCATTTATCCACTCTTACCCTATTCTCCCAACCCCCCATGTCAGACCTGCTTTATAACAGTGGCACTGTGCAGTATTTGTCCTTTTGTGACTGAGATATTTCACTCAGCATAATGTCCTCCAGGATCACCCATATTGTGTAATATTTTATGAGTTCATTGTTTTTTAGTGCTACATAGTATTCCATTGTATGAATTTACCATAGTTTTTCTATCACTTCAGTTGTTGATGGGCATTTGGGTTGCTTCATCTCTTTGCTATTGTAAATAATGCAGCAATAAATACGGGTGTGCATATGTTTCGATGGCAGTTCTGGTTTCTTTAGGGTATATTCCCAGTGGTGGAATTGCTAGTTCAAATGGTATTTCTGTTTCCAGCTTTTTGAGAAAATTCCAAACTTTACCTTCCATAGTGGTTTCACCATTTTACATACCTGCCAGCAGTGAATAAGCATTCCAATTCTCCAGTTTCTGAGCAGCATTTGTTGTTTCTGCTCTGTTGAACTTTGTTATTGTTATTGGGGTGATATGGTATCTCATAGTTGTTTTGATTTGCATGTCTCTGATAGCTAGGGATTTTGAACATTTCTTTGTGTGTGTTTGCCATCTGAGTGCTTCTTTGGTGAAGTATCTATTCATGTGTCCATTTTGCAATTGGGTTGTTTACATTTTTCTTGTTGAGGTATTGGAGTACTATATAAATTTTAAATATGAGTCCCTTATCAGATATATCATTACAAAATACTTTTTCCCAGTCTCTGATTTTCCTTTTTACCCTGTTGGAGAAGTTTTTTTGATGTGCATCGGGATTTGATTCTTAGAAGGTCCCATTCATCTATTTTATCTTTCCCTGGTTGTACATTTTTCAGAGTGCTTGGAAGACTGTTTATGATGTGGATTAGGACTTGTAGAGTTCTTCCAAGCTTTTCTTGAATGAAGTTTATAGTCCTTGGTTTTAGTCCTAGGTCCATGATCTACTTTGAGTTGGTTTTTGTGTAGGGAATGAGATACGAATCTTGGTGGTTGATTTTTCTGCAGATAGTTTTCAAATTCTCCAAAAATATTTGTTAAAAGACTATCGATTCCCCACTCAACTGATTTCATGTCCTTGTCAAAAATCAGTTACCCATAGGTAGATGGGCTGATTTCTGGGTTTTTCAATTCTATTCCATTGATCTGTGTGTTTGTCATTGTACCTGTGCCATCCTGTCTTGACCACCGCGGCAGTTTAGTAGGATTTGAAATCAGGGGTGAGATGCCTCCTACCTTTTTTCTATTTTTAAAGAGTGCTTTGGTTATTCAGGCTTCTTTCCATTCCAAATGAAACTGGAGATTACCTTTTCCATCTCATTGAAGAATGGGATTGGTATTTGTATTG